CCGTTTCGAATTAGAGAAATAACTGATGATGAACGCTCAATGCGTTTGAAAACGTTTTTATATTATTAAAGAATTTTGCTGGATAGTTGAATGGTTTTTATTTTTATTAATGATTCAAAATGAAATAAAATAAATAAAATATCAGTATTGATTAGATTATTCACCAATATAAAAGAAGCTTATACGAGGTATGAAATAATCTGTCATCTGTTTTAGTTCACTACTAGAGAAGGGCTTGAAAATTGCCATCATTTACAGCAGGCACTTCGGGTGTTATTTTCTTTGGGTATTTCAAGACTAAACTTTGCTGTCCACAAAGTTTTACTGTTTCTACAATGTCCATCAGTTTCTTCTTTTTTTCTTGATTACCTTATCTTTTTCTTTTTGAAACTTAATTATATATCAATAAACAACATTTTATCTTCACTAATTTTTCTAAACCTTTCTAATTCCATTATGCTACTTTCGTGATAAACAGTGAATTTGTTTTTCTTGAAGTAATCAAGTGCTTTCTTCCAATTTCTGTGTGATTCATTTACCAATTCTTTGATAGGTTGAGAACCAATACCAGCAGTCTTTTTAGGTAATAAAACACGTGCTTTACAAAAAGTTACATCCTCTTTCCTGGAGTAAGCCAAACAATGGAAAGTTTTTGACCAGTGTCCTTGGAAATGAATATTTCTATTCTAGAACAAGTGAATTCATACTTTTTTAGAAAAAAAAGGTTGGTTTTTAGACAACCAGACAAATTTATAAGCATTTGGAATAATTGTTTTCAGTTTCTTCTTAAAAAAATGAAACCATATTCCAAGGATATATTTTGTGTAAGTTATTGCTGGTTAGTTAGTATTTATTCTTGTCAGTAGGACCAATATTTCATCAGTTGACTGAGCTGGTTTTGAGACTTCACTATCATCATATGTCAAATTTAATTGGGAATTGCATTCTGGTTTCAGCTGTAAGAAAATAGAGAATATTTTAATTTTGTTTCTTTAATTTATTTATTTGGATAAGTTTAATTCCAATAAATAAATAACTTATCTCTTAAGGATCCATTATTTTTGCAAAAATAATAACTTAATGAAGAATTCAGTTGTACACTGGACATCTTATACTAAGAACACACAAAAATAATGATATTGAACTAAAAATGAAAATGTTTACATCAATGATATTCCCTGCTTTATTGAATATAGCCTTCTTCATTCAAAACTTTTGTTTAATAACTCAACAAATTCTTTATAATATTTCTGTCATTATTTCACTTTTTAACTTGCTGATTTCTAATCACAAAGTAGCTCACTCTATACAGAAATACTGTTTATATACCCTCATAGAATACACTATAAATTTTCACTATGTTCTACAAACTTCCATTCTTTTTGATAACCTTCTACTTTGTTTGGTAACAAAACATTCTAGAACTGTTGTGAAAATTTTCAATACATTTGTTATTATATTTTCTTGAACTTGCTAACTCTTTTTATATTATTTTCTACTTAGTAACATTGTTAATTGATTTTACCTAATTTAATGAGATGCATTTTTATTTTTTATTTTTTTTATTCTTCCCAAATGGGGGTTAACCCCAAACCCTCGTGTGCACAGCCTTGATTTTGATCTAAGTGAATGTTAACAATTAAATATTTTTGGATGATTTATTTATCTATTCTTTATTCTAATGGATAGAATATCAAATCATATTTGCTAATTGAATTATTCTAGCAAAATATAGTTTATTCTAGAAAAAAATTCTTCATAAGGCTATCAAAAACAAATCATTATTAAAATATGAATTTTTTTTGTAAGTTTTGAATTAAAAAACACTGTAATGGAGTTTACTATAATTTTAATTTAATAATTGTACAATAATTTATAAATTTTTTTATTCCATTTAAATATATTTAATCAAAAGAAGATTGATTGAATATTTGATTGATTGATTGAATATCATCTACAATATTTAAATTAATCAAAAGAAGATTTTTAATATAATAGTTTGAATTGCTTATTTGTAATTTATATATTGGTAATAATTATATTATTTAGATTATATTTTTATTTAATGAATATTATAGAAATAAATATGCTATTTAGATATCTTATTTTAAATATGTTTTGGAAATTATTCATTTTTTTTCCTATTGAAAATTATTACTTGAAATTTATCCAAAATAAGGATAAACTAGCCATTATAGTTAATCTGCTCAATTAACCAATGCACCTTTTAACAGTGAGTGAAGTTGAAGTGTTCCTTTAACTTTACCCACTATTAAAGGTGTATTGATTAAGTTATTGAAAATATTTATTGCTATTAGAATTATCTTATGAAATAATGTCGTAAACTTAAATTATATTATCTTGTTAATTTTAGACAAAAGATGCTGACATTACTTCAGTTGTGACTTACAAAATAATAGCTGGAAATAATAGGAAATTATTTGCAGTACATCCAAAAACTGGCGAAATTACAATCACTGATCCTTCAGGATTAGATGTTTCTTCACTTCGAACAGATCTGTAAGTTGAACAAAATAATCAATAAGTTTTTGATTTTTACATTAAATAATAAAATAATATTTTCGATAGTATTGTATTAACCATACAAGGATCTGATGGAGGTCCAAATCCTGCAACAACAACTGTTAAAATTACTATTCGGGTATGTTGATTCTTTTTAAATTTCGATAGAGCAATGACTTTAAAATTCACAAATCAATTCTTAATTTTATGTAAAATTGATTACAATATAATTTATATTTTATGTTTTGTAATTGTTTATGTTTAAATATAAATGAGTTATTTATTTTCATTATTGAAAATTAAGATAATATAAATAACTTTTTTTCTCTTTAAATCCTTTTTAATTCCAATCCAGGAACCACAAACAGCAGGCGACTTGAAGTAAAACTTCTAAAAATTATATTGTATATTATATAACAGACAAATATTATCAAAAAACTTGCACACAATTAAAAATGATCTTGACATCAATCTNTTCACATTTAACTCAATAACGTTTAATTGTCATCAAGTTCACATTTAAATTAATAACCTTCAAACAATGGCCATAAAATTTTATTTTTCATACTTTCTCATTCACCCTTTTTACTTAGTATCCTACTGGGACCTTCTCTCCTCTTTCTCATCCTCTTATCCTCTTTCTTTCTTTAATCTAGACCTAAGATCTACCTCATAATAAAATGTATATAATTTATTACAAACAATGTTAGAATCGGAGTTTAAGCGTCGGAGCTTAAACAGGTTTCCGACAACGGGAAACTGGGACCTTCTCTCCTCTTTCTCATCCTCTTATCCTCTTTCTTTCTTTAATCTAGACCTAAGATCTACCTCATAATAATATGTATATAATTTAAAATAAGTATGCAGTTGAATCCTGTTAATGCAAAGTTGAAGGGACTTAAAAATTGGCACTTTGTGTTAATGAGGTTCATATTAAACAAATTATACAAAAAATAATGATCACACTATCAAATGAGAAAAGCTAAATTTTTTCCCAGTTATTTCATTATGTTGATATTTTATCTTGTTTAGATATGTTTAAAAAATAAATAAACAAATAAACTTATGTATTACTCCAAACATGCATTTTATTGAGATATAGTGATTTGTCAGAAAATTAGCATTGATTCTTTATCAGCTAGAGTTGGTAAAACAGTGATAAAAGCTGCTGTATATAACAGGTTGACTTTGTCAAATTGAAACCAGGAACTGTGCAAGCATAAAACTACAAATTTAAAAATAAATTATTTACTTGGATTTTGATGAAAATGGTTTGTTTTTAATTTTAAAATTACAAACTAATTATAGTATTTCATATTGTAATTCAGTTGTTTTGTTATTTTCATTATTAAATAATAAACAATAAGAACTATTTTGTAAACTACAGATTTTTAATAAAAAATCTCCCAATCCTATAAACTCCTCACCAGTGAGATGGACAAGGTGGTTAAAGTATCTACCATTCTGGGATGCCTGGGATAGAATCTGGGCAGGTTGAAAAACCCAGGAACTATTCAGGGACAGTCAGGCCATCTCTCAACACATGGCATCCCTTTGTAGGCCTGTGTGGAAAAAATGTTCTCTTAGTGCCAACAGGACATAAAAAGTAAACAACAAAATTTTCAGTTTCCAATGCATGTCAACTGTCTTAACCAAATTGTTCAGCATTGTCAGTGTACAAAGCACTGACTTTAAGAGAAAGTAATTTTGCTAGTTGGAGCTCAACAACAACAACAACATCAATATCATAAGTATTGTGGCTAACATTATAGTTGAAAAACATGCCCATGGCCATATGTCTTGTGTTTTCCTCTTTGGCTCATGTAACTTTGTGGAAACTGTAAACAGTGTACTTTATGCTTATATAATGTAATATAATCATTATTAAATTCTTGTGGCTACAAGAAGTTTTGTTTTACATATTAACCAATATTTTGCATTAAAAAACAAACTCCTTAACATTGGAATGCCTATCCTTGTTCATGGATTGCAAATCTATTTTACATTAACNAGACTGCCATCTGGTATTGATATTAAAACTTTGTTAATTTTTCAAATTTTAGGCAACAGACAGAGACACAGGAATATACGGAGAAAAGGGAATTGTATATTCATTGTTTGGTAATGGAGCTGAAAAGTATGAATGAAATATTTATTTATTATTAATTCACAATGTATTTTTTATTTAAGCAAAACATTTTTTTGGAAATTTATGAAAATAAGCAAAGAATTATATAAGAAATTTAAGTGAAAATTTATTGAAAATTGATTTTAATCAATTAAAAATTGATTCAAATTCAAAAATAAATTTTCAATAATTAAAGATTAAGATCTAAGTTGAAAATATTATTGAAAATACTCTTAAACATACATGTCTTTAAAATATAACAAAACAATAAATGGCTTTACTGTAGTTCATTTTATTAACAAGTTTCTCTCAAGTAATTTCATGCAACCAATCAGGAAATGCATAAATGAATTAACTTTGTAACCATCATCTAAGTTTGAATGATACCAGATATAAACAATCTACAAGCATTGACATCTACTCTTAACTATTCTACCTTCTACCAAGAAAATTACTAATATCTTCCATTCACTACACATATGACATTTCTTATTTCCTGTTCAAGAGCTGTGTTTTCACATCAACAAAAAAAATTGACTATATATTAACAACAAAATAATTACACTCAAATCACCCATTTCATCCTTCTAGAATCACTTAAATTGTTTTTAAATGAATGTTTGAAAATTCCAAATGCTCAAAAGCTTTAAAATGCATCTTTAACATTCTTGTTCAATTTTTGTAGAATCTGATGGTGGGATATGTTGTACTGAAAAATGTTTAATCTGAGTTGAATCCTGGACTCATTGATTCTAGTGTTACTTTTCTTTTACATCTCATGCTGTTGTGAATTTACTTAAATGTTATAAATTCATTAGAAAATATAAGAAAAGTACAAAAGAAATAATTGTTCCTGATGGAGATGTAATCTTTTATCCTTCATTATCATGAATACTGCATTGATCAATTATTTACAAATTATTAATTCCTTCAGTTATTTAGCATTTTTTTTATTCAGATGGAAATAATTATATACAGTAAAACGTCGATTATCCGGACCTCTATTATCCGGATTTTCGATTATCTGGATTGTTCAAAATAAACAAAAATTTTATGACTTTGCTGATTTGCACTTGGCGAATTACGACACTGTTTATGTACGTGATGGAATGCATAACTTTTTTTGTATCAACAACTTCTCACCCAGCACAGTGGTCGTAAACTCTTAAATATATTTCACGTAGTAATAAAAATATAACTTGACATACGTATTTATAAATAATTTATATTCAAATTATATCATTTCTATGACCAAGGGCAGCGTAAGGCATGGATGACGTGGGCCACCGCCTATGCCTCGCGGTCTGAAGGGCCTCGCGCCTTGAAGGTTTATGCGTTACTTAAAAGCTGTGAACGCGACGAAAAAATTTTACTCGTCATAAAACGATAAATAGTTTGTCAAATTTTTATTCATAAAAATGCAGTTTCAACTGCTTTTTATTTTATAAAATCCGTCTTCTTGCGCCACCAGAGAGCCTTTCAAATAATAGATAGTCAGTTAGCATTGGTCAGTAGTAGTACAAATTTAATACGAACGTTTGTTTCTTGAAAATTTGAACACAATTTAAATACAGTATTTACTTTTAATATTACCGATATGTCATCAAAAAGATAACGTATTGTATTATCATTAAAAGACAAATTAAAGTATTTGATTCGATTATCCGGATTTTTCCTTATCCGGACTACCTTCATCCCCAATTAGTCCAGATAATCGAGGTTCTACTGTATTTCAATTCATAAAAGACATAAATTTAAATTTTATATTCTGAAAAAGAAATATTTTATATTTTTTAGATTTTCTGTGAATCCAAATTCAGGAATTATTACAGTTGCACCTTGTGAGACACCAGGAACTGGAAATTGTTTAGATTATGAACTTCGTCCTTCTTATTATTTATCATATCAAGCTACTGATAATAAAGGAAAAGGAAAAACTGCAGTTGTTCCTTTGGCTGTTACTCTTGTAGATGCTAATGATAATCCTCCTGTATTTTTGCAAGATGTTTATACTGCTATAATTGATGAGGCAGCAAATAAATTCCATCCTCCATTACAAGTAAAGGTAAGTAACAGCAAGTGCAAGTATTAATAATGTTTACCTCTCACATAATAACTACTTAATGGAATAACTTAAAATTCTATTTTAAATTGTTGTTTATTTGTATTACTAAGTAGCATAAAATAAATCAATAATTATTAAACAAGCAATTATTTTTAATTTGCTGCAATTTTTAATTTATTTAATTTAAAATATATGCTCTGCACCTCAAATTAGTAATATCTTGCTTCTGTACATCATACTTTTCCTGGTCCACCATGCCAGTCATCTATGTAACTTTGTTCTGGGGAAAATTTTTGTATTGAAATCACATAACTTCTAGTCTAGAGTGGAAATTAATATATAGTTAATTGGGGCATCCTGCACCTAAGCTTTCCATATCTGGTTTCAACTTTTAATTCCGTTCTTGAGATTAAGGACAGATGGGCCAACAGTGGGAATTTATAGGCCTCTAATATTTTCAAATTGCAACCCAATGTTGTTATAATGGATTTATTAAATGTAATATTTACTGGTAATATTTTCATATAAATAAATTAGTAATGACATGCTTAAAATGAATTAATTTTATTTAAATAATAAATTAATATATTATTCTTTATTCTAAAGATAATAACACTTTATGCAAAACTATATTGATTTACAAGTATATACATCTACAATGTAACCCTTATTTACAAGCATACCTAGTTCTTCAAAACATCTTGTAAATCAAAATTTTGTAAATAGGGATAGAGCTTGTTAGACTTGATATGTTTGTTGGAGATTGTGAAAAACTGGGTATGCTCATATAACTGGCTGTGTGACAAAAGATTAAGATTATGCAAAAGACTTGACTTGACTAAACAGAAAATCAGCACTAGAAAAGGAGAGTAAAATAATGAGGTCATCATCACCAATGGTTCCTTGAGGTGTTAACAATGCCACCAACCTTATATTACCTTATTTATTTCTTATATTACCTAATGGAAAAACTTTACAAAAATCACCATGACACAATATGATGTACACATCAATATATTTAATAACATCTTGAATCATTGATCTTTTTCATTATTTCTTATGGCTGAAATTTGAAATTTGTACCTCATTCTGGCATAATCTAGTCACTTTATTATGCTTCCCAAATAACATTAAAAATTTATAAAATACTTATTTATCTATCAACTAATGATTCAAAAATAGTATACTTGCTTACTGGAGAATAAAAATAAAAACCATTCAACTATCCAGCAAAATTCTTTAATAATTTAAAAACGTTTTCAAACGCATTAAGCGTTCATCATCAGTTATTTCTCTAATTTTAAATGTGAAATTCGAAAAATTACGCAACGGAAATTCCAAATAATGGTTATGTAAAAAATTTTTTACATAACCGTTATTTGGAATTTCCAAATAACTGATGATGAACGCTTAATGCGTTTGAAAATGTTTTTAAATTATTAAAGAATTTTGCTGGATAGTTGAATGGTTTTTATTTTTATTAATGATTCAAAATGAAATAAAATAAATAAAATATCAGTATTGATTAGATTATTCACCAATATAAAAGAAGCTTATACGAGGTATGAAATAATCTGTCATCTGTTTTAGTTCACTACTAGAGAAGGGCTTGAAAATTGCCATCATTTACAGCAGGCACTTCGGGTGTTATTTTCTTTGGGTATTTCAAGACTAAACTTTGCTGTCCACAAAGTTTTACTGTTTCTACAATGTCCATCAGTTTCTTCTTTTTTTCTTGATTACCTTATCTTTTTCTTTTTGAAACTTAATTATATATCAATAAACAACATTTTATCTTCACTAATTTTTCTAAACCTTTCTAATTCCATTATGCTACTTTCATGATAAACAGTGAATTTGTTTTTCTTGAAGTAATCAAGTGCTTTCTTCCAATTTCTGTGTGATTCATTTACCAATTCTTTGATAGGTTGAGAACCAATACCAGCAGTCTTTTTAGGTAATAAAACACGTGCTTTACAAAAAGTTACATCCTCTTTCCTGGAGTAAGCCAAACAATGGAAAGTTTTTGACCAGTGTCCTTGGAAATGAATATTTCTATTCTAGAACAAGTGAATTCATACTTTTTTAGAAAAAAAAGGTTGGTTTTTAGACAACCAGACAAATTTATAAGCATTTGGAATAATTGTTTTCAGTTTCTTCTTAAAAAAATGAAACCATATTCCAAGGATATATTTTGTGTAAGTTATTGCTGGTTAGTTAGTATTTATTCTTGTCAGTAGGACCAATATTTCATCAGTTGACTGAGCTGGTTTTGAGACTTCACTATCATCATATGTCAAATTTAATTGGGAATTGCATTCTGGTTTCAGCTGTAAGAAAATAGAGAATATTTTAATTTTGTTTCTTTAATTTATTTATTTGGATAAGTTTAATTCCAATAAATAAATAACTTATCTCTTAAGGATCCATTATTTTTGCAAAAATAATAACTTAATGAAGAATTCAGTTGTACACTGGACATCTTATACTAAGAACACACAAAAATAATGAGATTGAACTAAAAATGAAAATGTTTACATCAATGATATTCCCTGCTTTATTGAATATAGCCTTCTTCATTCAAAACTTTTGTTTAATAACTCAACAAATTCTTTATAATATTTCTGTCATTATTTCACTTTTTAACTTGCTGATTTCTAATCACAAAGTAGCTCACTCTATACAGAAATACTGTTTATATACCCTCATAGAATACACTATAAATTTCCACTATGTTCTACAAACTTCCATTCTTTTTGATAACCTTCTACTTTGTTTGGTAACAAAACATTCTAGAACTGTTGTGAAAATTTTCAATACATTTGTTATTATATTTTCTTGAACTTGCTAACTCTTTTTATATTATTTTCTACTTAGTAACATTGTTAATTGATTTTACCTAATTTAATGAGATGCATTTTTATTTTTTATTTTTTTTATTCTTCCCAAATGGGGGTTAACCCCAAACCCTCGTGTGCACAGCCTTGATTTTGATCTAAGTGAATGTTAACAATTAAATATTTTTGGATGATTTATTTATCTATTCTTTATTCTAATGGATAGAATATCAAATCATATTTGCTAATTGAATTATTCTAGCAAAATATAGTTTATTCTAGAAAAAAATTCTTCATAAGGCTATCAAAAACAAATCATTATTAAAATATGAATTTTTTTTGTAAGTTTTGAATTAAAAAACACTGTAATGGAGTTTACTATAATTTTAATTTAATAATTGTACAATAATTTATAAATTTTTTTATTCCATTTAAATATATTTAATCAAAAGAAGATTGATTGAATATTTGATTGATTGATTGAATATCATCTACAATATTTAAATTAATCAAAAGAAGATTTTTAATATAATAGTTTGAATTGCTTATTTGTAATTTATATATTGGTAATAATTATATTATTTAGATTATATTTTTATTTAATGAATATTATAGAAATAAATATGCTATTTAGATATCTTATTTTAAATATGTTTTGGAAATTATTCATTTTTTTTCCTATTGAAAATTATTACTTGAAATTTATCCAAAATAAGGAAAAACTAGCCATTATAGTTAATCTGCTCAATTAACCAATGCACCTTTTAACAGTGAGTGAAGTTGAAGTGTTCCTTTAACTTTACCCACTATTAAAGGTGTATTGATTAAGTTATTGAAAATATTTATTGCTATTAGAATTATCTTATGAAATAATGTCGTAAACTTAAATTATATTATCTTGTTAATTTTAGACAAAAGATGCTGACATTACTTCAGTTGTGACTTACAAAATAATAGCTGGAAATAATAGGAAATTATTTGCAGTACATCCAAAAACTGGCGAAATTACAATCACTGATCCTTCAGGATTAGATGTTTCTTCACTTCGAACAGATCTGTAAGTTGAACAAAATAATCAATAAGTTTTTGATTTTTACATTAAATAATAAAATAATATTTTCGATAGTATTGTATTAACCATACAAGGATCTGATGGAGGTCCAAATCCTGCAACAACAACTGTTAAAATTACTATTCGGGTATGTTGATTCTTTTTAAATTTCGATAGAGCAATGACTTTAAAATTCACAAATCAATTCTTAATTTTATGTAAAATTGATTACAATATAATTTATATTTTATGTTTTGTAATTGTTTATGTTTAAATATAAATGAGTTATTTATTTTCATTATTGAAAATTAAGATAATATAAATAACTTTTTTTCTCTTTAAATCCTTTTTAATTCCAATCCAGGAACCACAAACAGCAGGCGACTTGAAGTAAAACTTCTAAAAATTATATTGTATATTATATAACAGACAAATATTATCAAAAAACTTGCACACAATTAAAAATGATCTTGACATCAATCTCTTTTTGTAGGCTACGACAGCTACAAACATTAAAAATCATTAAAAATCCTTCTCAACAGCATCCATGTTATATAATCACATTTATAAGCTGAGAATCCTCTGGTGGAAATAAAAAGATGTATAATATGTTTAAATATAAACATATTGTACATTTTTTTTATACAGTATTTTAAAATAAACAATACAGAAAGTAACTTTACAAAAATGAAAATACTTAAAAATAAACAATGTATTGGGTTCTAATTAACACTGATTCATCAAACATTGAATATTAGTTAATGGTATTAACTAATCAACCTAGTTATTAAATTAATTTATTTCTTAAAAAATTTATAACTTATTATGAACTAAACCAGCTGTACAATACAAGCAATAAATTTTGAGTATATATTTAATTTTGATTTTTTAAAATGGGAAGATAGGAAAAATTACATATTCATTTAGGTTGCAGGCAAATGAAATAAAAAGTTTTGCATTCTTTCATCAAGCAAATAAACACTATAAACCAGGGGTGGCCAAGCTCCTTGATAGTCTGAGCCATTTTTCAAAATTTGAAATTTTTTGTGAGCCGCAATTAAAGGTATGCAAAAAATTCCAGATTACAAAATATATCCGTAGCAAGAGTGATACAACTTGTTTCCTTCAGAGCACAATGTCAACTGTCCATTGCAATGACAGTTTACAAATTCAAAATCGGTCTGGAATCGGTCGATAACGGACAATTACGCCACTGTTTATGTTTGCAGTTTTCGATGAGTCATATCATTCTTAACTTGGACGGAAATGAAATTTGTTACAACGTTGCACTTAGTCTTTCATATTTGTTGTTAGTAATTTAAAAGACATTTTGAAACACATACGGACGATAATAATTTTTTAAAATGTAATAACACAAAAATGAAAAGGGAACTCGGGTACAGTACATTTATCGAGAGCCACAAATAATCCTTCGAAGAGCTGCATGTGGCTCGCGAGCCGCAGGTTGGCCACCCCTGCTATATATATATATATACTAGCTGTTACCCGCGACTTCGTCAGCGGAGGTTTTGCAAGCAAATGAAAATTTAAATTTGCCGNATATATAATATAATAAACAAATTTTTAAAAAATAATAATATATATTATTTTTAAAAACTTAAGATTATTTTATTACAGGTATAGTAGTAATATATTTTAATATCTACAATAAAAAACCATAATATTTAGAATTAAAATGTAGATATTAGATTTATTTTATTTAAATTAAAATTTTATATTTCAGGATTCAAACAATAATAGTCCATTTTTTCAAAAACCAAAATATTCTGCTTCTCTTCCAGAATCATCTCCTGCTGGTATGTATTTTAAAATTATTCTATGATTTTTCTAAATTAATATTTGTAGCTTAATTTCTATTTATTATATTATATTTACTAATAAATATTTGTAGCATAATTTGGCTGATAGTTGGTTGATTTCTAAGTAATAAAATACTATAAAATATAACATATATCATGTGAATGTGAGATGTGAATATATCAGATGTAGTATGCAGGGCATGATATTATTTAGCAAAATTTAGGTATCTCCTTAATCATGGCAAAAATTCAATATATTCTCAGACATTGCTTTTTAATAAACAAGACCACTGCATTGTTTATCCGCCAATTCCTTTTTTGGGCTCTTTATTGTTACACATAGCCCATCTCTTTAGAACTCATGGCCTCATTTTACCAATTGTTCTCCAGTACACCTTATGTAGATTGTTATGTAATGATAGAGACAGTGTTGTGTATAAAAAATTGGGGGTTTATGCAATTCTGTTCGAACAGCTGGTTTCAGGAACAACATTAATGTACAATGGAGCCACATCTAGAATGTTGCAAGTTTGGATAGCAGAACATCAAGAGGATATTGCAAATAATAAACTCAAAACTGAGCTTTCAAAAAGAATATTAGAGCATGACTATGTGCCCCTTTGGACTAACACTAGGTTACTGAGATGGTACTATAACAAAAGAATGCTGTTCATATGGGAAAATCTTTATATTGATCACTTTCACCCTGTAATACCCTACCATCGATATTCCATATTTATGGATAGAATTATTTCAGCATTTCACTTTGTAGACACTCTAAAGATCTTCACTTGGAAGTTTTATTTTGTTGATAATTTTGCGTGCATTGCATTTTTATTAGACTGTTCCAACTTTTGTTGAATTTTCATTATTCCAATCTTGTGCCTTAACTGAATTTAAAAAAAATAAGAACAGAACATAAACAGAACGTATGTTTTAAAGTTTGTGTTCAATTTTGCCTGATGACAAAGGCTGTGTCTTTGAAAGTACTCAGAATTTTTAATAAATACATGTTTTTTAATGTTGGTTAAGTGTGATTTCTCTCCCATAAACCAATAGAAATCAATAATAATTTTATTGGTATTATAGAGCAATATTTCAAACCAATAGAATTTTCTACTAGTAGTCTAGGTGAATAAATTATTTAAACCAATAGACACCAATAAAATAATTTTCTGGTATATATGCTATTGGTCAATGAAAGCCAATTTGTAATTTGTAATTTGTAAAAGAGGGTGAGAGAGCTGTCGGTCTTTTAGCTGACTGATTTAGCTCGTTTAGATAGGAAACGGAAAGAAGGTTCGAAGGTAAGATGATAAGCAGCAAGAGGAANAAAACTTCTAAAAATTATATTGTATATTATATAACAGACAAATATTATCAAAAAACTTGCACACAATTAAAAATGATCTTGACATCAATCTCTTTTTGTAGGCTACGACAGCTACAAACATTAAAAATCATTAAAAATCCTTCTCAACAGCATCCATGTTATATAATCACATTTATAAGCTGAGAATCCTCTGGTGGAAATAAAAAGATGTATAATATGTTTAAATATAAACATATTGTACATTTTTTTTATACAGTATTTTAAAATAAACAATACAGAAAGTAACTTTACAAAAATGAAAATACTTAAAAATAAACAATGTATTGGGTTCTAATTAACACTGATTCATCAAACATTGAATATTAGTTAATGGTATTAACTAATCAACCTAGTTATTAAATTAATTTATTTCTTAAAAAATTTATAACTTATTATGAACTAAACCAGCTGTACAATACAAGCAATAAATTTTGAGTATATATTTAATTTTGATTTTTTAAAATGGGAAGATAGGAAAAATTACATATTCATTTAGGTTGCAGGCAAATGAAATAAAAAGTTTTGCATTCTTTCATCAAGCAAATAAACACTATAAACCAGGGGTGGCCAAGCTCCTTGATAGTCTGAGCCATTTTTCAAAATTTGAAATTTTTTGTGAGCCGCAATTAAAGGTATGCAAAAAATTCCAGATTACAAAATATATCCGTAGCAAGAGTGATACAACTTGTTTCCTTCAGAGCACAATGTCAACTGTCCATTGCAATGACAGTTTACAAATTCAAAATCGGTCTGGAATCGGTCGATAACGGACAATTACGCCACTGTTTATGTTTGCAGTTTTCGATGAGTCATATCATTCTTAACTTGGACGGAAATGAAATTTGTTACAACGTTGCACTTAGTCTTTCATATTTGTTGTTAGTAATTTAAAAGACATTTTGAAACACATACGGACGATAATAATTTTTTAAAATGTAATAACACAAAAATGAAAAGGGAACTCGGGTACAGTACATTTATCGAGAGCCACAAATAATCCTTCGAAGAGCTGCATGTGGCTCGCGAGCCGCAGGTTGGCCACCCCTGCTATATATATATATATACTAGCTGTTACCCGCGACTTCGTCAGCGGAGGTTTTGCAAGCAAATGAAAATTTAAATTTGCCGNGAGGTGTATTGGCTGTATACCTGCGAGAACCAGTAGCGCGTCCGTGGGTGTCGTCCTGTAAGCTCTACACATTTGTAGGGCTGCTCTGCGCTGAATGGACATGAGTTTCCTCCTTCCATGTATGCTATTTAATGCTTCATGCCATACAGGTATTGCATAAAGCACAGCTGGCTCTATTGCTGCCTTGTAAATGATTTTGCAGTTCCGAAAATTTAGCCCCCACTCTTTGCCTGCTATCCATGTCAGGAAATTTATCTTCTGGTTAGTTTTCCTACATATTTCTTCAATGTGGCTTTGCCAGTTCAATTTTTGGTCAAAGTATATACCGAGGTACTTTAATTCCGTGACTGTTTTGATTTTCTTGCCATCGATGTGCACACCTATCGCTCTTTTTAGTTGCCCCCACTTGTCTTTTTTGCTTTTTAATAAACAAGACCACTGCATTGTTTATCCGCCAATTCCTTTTTTGGGCTCTTTATTGTTACACATAGCCCATCTCTTTAGAACTCATGGCCTCATTTTACCAATTGTTCTCCAGTACACCTTATGTAGATTGTTATGTAATGATAGAGACAGTGTTGTGTATAAAAAATTGGGGGTTTATGCAATTCTGTTCGAACAGCTGGTTTCAGGAACAACATTAATGTACAATGGAGCCACATCTAGAATGTTGCAAGTTTGGATAGCAGAACATCAAGAGGATATTGCAAATAATAAACTCAAAACTGAGCTTTCAAAAAGAATATTAGAGCATGACTATGTGCCCCTTTGGACTAACACTAGGTTACTGAGATGGTACTATAACAAAAGAATGCTGTTCATATGGGAAAATCTTTATATTGATCACTTTCACCCTGTAATACCCTACCATCGATATTCCATATTTATGGATAGAATTATTTCAGCATTTCACTTTGTAGACACTCTAAAGATCTTCACTTGGAAGTTTTATTTTGTTGATAATTTTGCGTGCATTGCATTTTTATTAGACTGTTCCAACTTTTGTTGAATTTTCATTATTCCAATCTTGTGCCTTAACTGAATTTAAAAAAAATAAGAACAGAACATAAACAGAACGTATGTTTTAAAGTTTGTGTTCAATTTTGCCTGATGACAAAGGCTGTGTCTTTGAAAGTACTCAGAATTTTTAATAAATACATGTTTTTTAATGTTGGTTAAGTGTGATTTCTCTCCCATAAACCAATAGAAATCAATAATAATTTTATTGGTATTATAGAGCAATATTTCAAACCAATAGAATTTTCTACTAGTAGTCTAGGTGAATAAATTATTTAAACCAATAGACACCAATAAAATAATTTTCTGGTATATATGCTATTGGTCAATGAAAGCCAATTTGTAATTTGTAATTTGTAAAAGAGGGTGAGAGAGCTGTCGGTCTTTTAGCTGACTGATTTAGCTCGTTTAGATAGGAAACGGAAAGAAGGTTCGAAGGTAAGATGATAAGCAGCAAGAGGAAGTTAGATAGATAGGAGAGAGGAAGGAAGTGACCATGGGTTCCATGGGCGCCTGAAACGCCTCAACACACTAAGTAAAACAAAATATGGTTACAAGATCCAATAATAGCATGGAAACCATATAGACAAAATGGCGCGGCAATACAAACAGTACTCAGGGTTAATGTTTACAATTTATATAAGGTAATATCGAGCAATTAATGTAAAACAGGGGAAGTTATATGTACTGTACATGGCATATACGATCAGGAACTGTCCTTGTTATCTTCGTCTGTTTCACTTTCCGATGTTTGGTGGATTGGACTATTGTCATTTGGTGTTTGTTGCTGTTTTTTGAAGGTAGTCCGGTTTTAGTTCTTTTGTTTTCTTAACGAATGTTTGAAGGCTGCACCACAGTCGTTTGGTGGCAAAGATGTCTGCCAGCTGTGGTGGCCATGTTAGTCCACTTGTGATGGTGTCCCTAAAAAATTCTGCTCTATGCTAGTGGAATTTATGGCAGTGGAACATAAAATGTTCGGCGTCTCCCTCACTTTTAAGTTCACAATCACATTTATTGTCCATGCGTTTTTTAAAACGGTAAAGGTAAGACTGAAATTTCCCATGACCCGTTAGGCATTGGGTCATGTCTGGATCGGGTTCAAAGTGATGGGCTTTTTTCCTTGCCGTTAGAGTTGGTATAAATCTATGGCAAAGTCTTCCCGTCGTGGAGTTGTCCCATTCAATCTGCCATAGGGTGTTTGTGATTGAGTTTATTTTCTCCCAGATCATCGTCATCGGTATGCGTGAGTAGGTGTGGGGGGAGTGGAGTACGCAAGCCTTTTTGGCCAGCAGGTCCACTGTTTCGTTCCCTCCGTAACCTTTGTGGGCCGGAATCCAGTTGAAGTGGATGATTCTATGCATAGCAAGAGAGTTTGCAGTGTTTATTAGTTCTCTTCCTAGTCGTGTGGCTCTCCTTTTGTTCTCAAGTGTGTGCAGCACTGCCCTGCTGTCAGTGTAGATATTTATTATCGCTTTGTAA